GGTTAGGGAAAAAACACTATGAATCTTATTATAGAGATAGGAAAATTAGTACATGATGACAGCACTGCACATTTATTTTATGCTGAACAGTCAAAATTATAATTGCATCATAATTGTCAGGTACTAATAGAAAAGCTATAAAAAAATAAAGACCTTTATTTTATCTATAAACCTTAATCTCATGCTCAAAACATGTTAGTGTAGATTTAGACTTTTTTGTGCACTAGGATATTATTTGTATTTTAAAAAATAGAAATGAAATCACAATTTACGGTATTCAATCTTAAGTTGTTTACGCTAAGTTTAAACATTATTTTCCTTATGTTAAAAGCAAAACAAGCAATGTATATCTACGTAATAAGATAAACAACTACTCGCTATACGCTACATTGACTGCCAGATATGAGTAACTTGAGTAAACAGTAAACAGGTTCACTACCGGGACTATTACTATGTACACTACCGGGACTATTACTATACACACTATCATCACTACTATAGGTAAAGGTTATACAACGAGGTGGAGGTATCTATGGCATTTATCATACCGAAGGCTGTAGGCCAGAGGTATGATAAGGCCATAGATACCGACACAGAGTTGTATAACCGACTTCTACCATGTACTAAAATAAACAAATAGTTTACTTAGCAACAGTTAGCAACAGCAATGCATTCCCATGGTAGCTTTTGCGCGTAGCAACAGCGCACTATAACAGTTTGAAAAAAACAACATTATCTTCCCATCTATGGCTGTCTCTGACATCTCAAGTGAAATAGACAGGCAGATGGAGGAGTTTCTTTCACAAATTACGGAGGAGCAATACCAAGACTTCTTAAATAACTCCACCCAATTGCTTCCTAAGCTCAATGGCAGCATAGATGGCGGCTCTCAATCTCTCGATGGTTCAAGCAGCACCACGACCACTGCCGCATCATCATCCAAGATATCAGCTAGCTCTAGGTTGCTGCCCCAAAGGACAATGAAGCTGTTCTGGCAGCTCAAAAGAGTGCAATACCAGA